CTACAAGCATTCTTGTGTGCTGAAAAGCAGTTTGACTTTGTCTGGGATAAAATTCCATGGTACATCTGCTGTCTGATCTGGCTATGCAGCTGAGTAGTACACGAATACTAGCCATGTTACAAGTAACTACTACTAGTTACACACAGAGATGACCCATGATGCATGGCTGCCAACTGGCCAGCAGCAAATGTCATCTAAATGCAACCAGGCAGTGGAGAAAAGGAAGTTTTATTTCTTGTCCAATCTACGTTTCAAGGGCTGGAGAGAGGCAGAGACTTCCTGCATTCTACCAGCTCAAAGCATGAAGTCAGTTAAAAAGGAGATAAAAATTAGAGAGGAAGCTGAAAAGCAGTTTGACTTTGTCTGGGATAATATTCCATGGTACATCTGCTATGCAGCTGAGTAGTACACGAATACTAGCCATGTTACAAGGAATTAATTAAAATGGTAACTCTTGACATAACAGCCAAGCTGAAAATGTTTGTGGATGCCTGTTGCTAAAACAGCTGATCAACCTTCATGAAGCATGAGAATGGGTAAAGAATCAATAGTCCCAAATACTGGAAGTTGGCACAAGTTAAAAAAAGATCAATCAGGTATCTGAAAGACTGGGTTTTCAGACTTCCACTGTTCCTAATATTCCAAAATAGAATAGAGAAATGACTGTATTCTCCATCAGTGCAATCTGATAGGGTACATAGAAGTAACCAACCATTTATCTTTAGTACTACACTGTTATGGTAGCCAAGAAGTCTATTTTTCATCAGAGAAATGTCACTTAGAAGCAACTTCTGGAATTAATCTCTTCCAGCTCTCTCTTCAAAGCAGGGCTGCCACCAGCACTAAGACTATGGATTTACCTAGCCAACTCCTAAAAAACTCCAGGGAAAGGATTCCACAGCCTCTCTGAGCAAGCTGTGCCAGCAGTGCTCCACCTTTTAACAAACAACTTCTTCCTGAAGTCCAAACTGGACCTGCCACGCTGCAGCTTGTGACTTTTCATCCTTACTACAGTCATCTGGCACTGCTGGGAAGAGTTTGCTTTGTCAGCTTTTTAATAAGCTTCAGGTAGTTTAAGGCACCTCTCTGGTCAGTTGAAGTACATGTTCAAGGTAGAATTGGCCAAACAGAATTTGTTTTGTGTTACCTAGGAATGAAAAGTGCATGGAAGAAATTTTAGGCATGGTAGTTTGCATCTGTCTGAGGATTGTTAAGTGAGAAGAGGTGTCGTATGACTGAAAGGAAGCATCGAGGATTCCTCTTCCTCCCCTTCCAGGTCGCTTCAAAATTCTCCTTTCAGAAACCAGTGAAACTATTACTGTGGGATTATAAATGCGCTTAGACTCATAGAATGAAAATGAAATAATCTTTGAGGTTGAAAGTAACCTCTGGAGATCATCTAGTTGAACCTTTCCTGCTCAAAGCAGGGTCAACTGGAGTGAGCTACTCAGGGATCCGGGGCTGTAATGGTACTGTTTGCATTGTTCCATCTTCTCAGGAGCCTGAGAAGATCATATTGTGAACATCACCTTATCATCACTATAGCAAAGGTTGGCCCCAACTTTCACATCCCCCACTTCTTCCTTGATTGAGACCCAGCATCCCCTCATTGGCTTTTTTGGGAGGCTGTTGTTAACAGCAATAGCAGTTAATAGCAGTCTATTAATAGCTGTTAATAGCAGGCCAGTCTCCTGCACTGCTTGTTCCCTGCTGTATTGCCCTTGCAGACTTCTAAATTGATGGTAAATATTTTGGAACGTTTAGAGGGCAAGTTGTTGGGGCTGAGGGAGTGTATGTTTGGTTGAAGGTCTTTTTACTGAGAAGTATTCCTGCAAGTCTGGAAATCTTTTTTTCCATGAAGGGCATCTTTACTAATTTGCCTTTGCTTTTTGCATTAGTGCACATGGAGACACAGGACTCTGATTTCCTTCTGACCTTTCAGGCCCCTGACACTTTTCTCTGTGCTTGCTATACTCCCTCCATGCCTGGTTCACACTCTCCCTGCAAGGCCTTTTGAGCTGTTTAGTAACCTGTGGAAGATATCCCTTCAAAGATTATTCCCTTTTCTTGTGCTAATCCTTTGGGGATGTATCAGGTCCGTAAGTTCTTTCTTTTTCTTTACATTCACATAGATGCCTACACATGCATGTACACAGTTGTTCATTATTATAATGATTTTTGACCTTAAGTATAGCCTAGGCCATGAGATTGCCCTAGACCAGGCAGCAGATAATGGAGGGGTTTCAGTCTGTTGACCTTCTTGTTAACAGCTCAGCTTTGCCACACCATTGTAGTTGAACTGCTAAATATTTCCCACTTTTGCTTCTCATCTGTTTCTGAGAAGGGAGAACTATTTAAGGAGAGAACTATTTAACATCTATGCTGTATTTGATATTCTATACTGCTGTGGCTCAAAGAAACGGATGTGTTTTAAACACAGATCTTTGTCATTAAAGGAAAACAGTTCATTGAGTAAAAGTACACATTAAAAGGCTTTTGTTTTATATACAAAAAGCCGTGTTCACAAAAATGTATGTGGAAGATCTTCTAGACAAGCAGTTAACAAAACAATAAAAAAATAGTACAACACTAAATCAGAAAAACTGAAAAAATAGCTTGCCTGGAAGACAAAATTTTTTGGTTGATTAACTTGAAAGCATTGTAATGAAATAAAGTGTCTCAAATAAAATAAGATGGGAAAAAAAAAGGAAACCTTTTTGTGCAATATAGATGCATATTTAATTAACTGTATTTAGGTACATGAACTACATACCCTTTTCTCCAGGAGAGGGCAGAATAATAATGATGTAAAAGCGGGAGTCGACACAAACTGTTTGCACAAAAGAATGTGGAGCCTGATTTAGCAGGTCAGTAAGTGCTGTGGCTCCTACAGACTGCAGCCTTATTTTTGGGTGTGAGGTTTCCTTAGGCATCTGGAAGAAAATGCTCCAGCCTTTAGTACCAGTATATTTTATCCATGTTTTCCAACAGTGTATCAGTGGCAGCTGGAAATGCCAAGCTGGGTAAGCAGAACAAATGCTGCTTTTCCTCAGAGCAGCAATGATGCTAACATCTTCTATTTCGTGCAGCACATCTGGGACTGCATTAATATATTTCCCTTATTTTTGCCTTTGTAGTACTTGATTAACTCTTGTATCTGGGACTGTGTTAAAGTATTTCCCTTATTTTTTCATTTGCAGTACTTGATTAACTCTTATTTTGTAGATATGGAAGTCCTTCTCTGCTTTATGTTATTGCTATAAATATTTCTTCTTAACTGCAAAGTAAATAGTCTTTGCAACAGGGAAGAAGAGATTTTCCTACTGCACCTCACAAGGGCATCCAGTATGAAATAATGCTCTATTACAGTTACAACATTTCTTTGAATGCAGAGTAGGGAGAACATCAGCTGTGCACTGCACCATGGAGACAAAAATGGTTTATTTCCCCTGCTGGAACAGGAACTTAACACCTAGGTTTATGATTATTTGGACTGGAAGAGGACAGAGAAGCGAGGTCAGCTTGGCTCAGCTTTACAGACACAGAAGGGCCTGATGTTGGCTACTCTGAGCCTGGTCTGATTTTGAAAGCTTTCGTAGAATATTGCTTTTAGCCCATTGCCTTAAAAGCACAGGAAAAGGAGCTTCCATCACAGCTTGTGCAGTAGTAAACAGTGGTGACATGAGGAGTTCTTTCATGGGAGGCAAAGTCAACTGCCACGGAGCAAATGGGCTCTTACATGCCCGGGACAGGATTATAGACAGCAGCTCTGATCAAGAGTGTCTGAGGAGGAACAGGGGAAAACAGTAGGTAAACTTAAGTTATAAATTAAAAAGAAAGGGAAAGTAATAATTTCATTCAAAAGCCAGCACTCCTACCCCCAGACCTCTGGAGCCATCCAAGCCCTCCTTTGACTTAGACAAAACCAGCTGCTGTGATTTCAGTGCCAGGGTGGTTGGCTTCTTACATTTAGCAAATAGCTTCTGCTTGAGCATGTTGTTCTGACTCTGTATCTGTTAAGGTTCATTAACCTAGAGCAGAATTTGACTAAATGTGGCAGCTGATGGACCTGAATAATTGTGTTAAAAGGCATTTCTAGCTAAAAATGTGATGGATTAAATAAATGTGACAATCCTTAAAATGTCAGCTAAACAATTATTACTGCTACAGATTAAGTGGCTGGGGCAAATACTACGTTTTTTTATGTGCATCTTCAGTCTTTGTGCTCAGTTGAGGTATTCCAGCTCAAGCATCTTCTTACAGCGTGGAAGAGAACAGCAGTGTATTTATTTTGCCATAGTGCAACACAGGTTGATCTCACCAGAGAGTGCTAATCATTTTCTTTTGCTCAAAGGACTTGACATCAATATTTCTTTTCTTTTTTTTGAGAGACTTGGGCCTTCAAACTGTATGTTTTAAAATGGGGCTAAGATGGGTAATTCTGTCTTCACAAAATCCTCTCTGCAGGCACGTTCAGCGCTTTCCTTTGTAGTTTATGGGCAGCTGAAGTAAAATACATGTTGCAGGAACTACTTGGTGCCACTTAATTTTGCCAAATGTTTACATGCATAGTATGTGAGTAACCTCAAGTAGAATCATAGAATCATAGAATGGTTTGGGTTGGAAGGGACCTCAAAGATCATCTAATTCCAACCCCCCTGCCCTGGGCAGGGACACCTCCCACCAGACCAGGTTGCTCCAAGCCCCATCCAGCCTGGCCTTGAACCCCTCCAGGGATGGGGCAGCCACAGCTTCTCTGGGCAACCTGTTCCAGTGTCTCACCACCCTCATAGTAAAAAATTTCTTCCTGAGATCTAATCTGAATCTTTTTTCTTCCAATTTAAAACCGTTTCCAAGAATGGCACCAAAAAGTATTAGAAGTATCTTACAGGTACTATAACACTGCATTACAGTTTTTAAGGCCTTTCTTAAATCACTTACGTTAAATGGTCTGTGCAACTCAAGAATAAATAACATGTTTTTTCTCACACACTTTACAGAACGAGGCTCAAAAGGACATCTTGACCTCACGGAGTTAATAGGAGTTCCTCTTCCTCCTTCTGTCTACTTTGTCACCGGCTACGGAGGGTTTCCAGCCTACAGCTTTGGTCCAGATGCCAACATCGGTCGATTGACAAGTGCTATAATACCCATGCCTTTCTACAGGGATTTTGCCATCGTAGTTACAGTGAAACCCAACAGTGACCGTGGAGGAGTGCTATTTGCCATAACAGATGCCTTCCAGAAGACTATTTACCTGGGAATGAGGCTTTCAGCAGTTGATGACAGCACCCAGAGGATCATTATGTACTACACAGAGCCTGGTTCCCATGTCTCCCGAGAGGCTGCTTCGTTTAAAGTGCCAGTGATGACTAACAGGTGGAATAGGTTTACAGTGACTGTTCAGGGAAACGATGTTGCTTTGTTCATGGACTGTGAAGAATATCAAAGAATTCAGTTTCAAAGGTCGGCTCAAGCCTTGGTATTTGAATCTGGCTCTGGGATATTCGTGGGTAATGCAGGAGCCACAGGACTGGAAAAGTTCACGGTAAGTACTGATAAATTGACATGCCTCGGTGTTCTGTGCATGTACTCTCTACCCTAGAAAGTCTGCTTACAATGATTGTATCCCAAATGGGGTTACAAATTAATATAGCTTCTATTTTCCATGGCTGGCTAGGGTTCAGGCAGTGCAGGTAGATAAACTTTGGCTTAAAGTGCAAATGTTTCTAGAACCTCAGAATTTTATCACATATTAAGCTCAACACACATTTTGAATACTAGGAATTTCAAAGTAAGTATCACTTAACTTTATGTGGCCTTTTTATGAAGGGAAAACTATCCATTTCTTTAACTTGAAGATTATCATGTGCTTTAGAAAAATAGAATGGACCAAAACCACTACTAGAGGGCTCCCAAGCCTTCTTAGCCTGAGTGAAGGAATCCTTCCTGCAGCATCCTGACTGGAATTCTTAGCCCTTGAGGTTCCAAACAGAAATGTGAAAGCTGCCAATATTCCTGAGATTGACTCATTGTCAAACTGAAAGGAAAATGTCACACTCTTTCTGTCTTGTTTTTGTACTTCCCTTGTACTTCAAGTGAAAGCTGCCAATATTCCTGAGATCGACTCGTTGTCAAACTGAAAGGAAAATGTCACCCCCTTTCTGTCTTGTTTTTTAACTTCCCTTGTACTTCAGAACTTGTGCAGTCTTTTGTGAGATTAATATCTCTTTCCCTAAATTAATAAAGCCGCAGCACAAAACTGAGTGGATCCTTTGCTTCAGAGAAACAAAAAATTCTTTCCAAAGTTCAGGTGTACTGACAGATTGTGAGCTCCCTTTGGTAAGCAGCAAGGATAATGAACTTTTAAAAATTATCTGACTGGTCTAAGCACCTAGAATTACAGGAATATATTGATTAGCAACAATTAAGTGGTGGAAAGAGATATGTAGGAAAACTTCCTGCTGGCGCTACCTTTCTTAGGTGGGATGACTGGAGTATTGGGGATGCCTGATTAGTAAGTAAGAATGAGAAACATTCAAGAAAATGAGACCACTTTGGTATCCCACCTGAAAAACTCCTATGTGATGATCAGTTGCTAAGGTTATCACCAATAAATCTGTAAATAAGGTGACAGGGGTGCATGGTTCATTACACTCAAGTACAGACATTTCAACCAATATTGTGATTGCTTCAGTACTGTTAATTGTGACATGTACCTTTATTTCTTCATGCTCACCAATAAATCTGTAAATAAGGTGACAGGAATGCATGGTTTATTACACTCTAAGGTGTTTCCATTGAAATAGGCTGTTCTGTATGCTATATCAAGTATAGACATTTCAACCAATATTGTGGTTGCTTCAGTACTGTTAATTGTGATGTGTACTCTAGGTCTTGTGCCTTTATTTCTTCATGTGTCATATGTCACAATTGCTTTTGGGTAGAAAAACTAAATGGTTGATTCCTCCTGAAGCTGTGTTTGTATGACAAGAACTGTTTACATTCATTGCCCAAAATAGAAACAATTGACAGCAGATGAATGGATGGCAGTCGCTGGTTTGCTCTGGCTATTGGGAATTCGTATGTCTACGGCTCTGGTTGCCAGATGCAAAAGGACATAACTGTCATCAGATTTCATGGAAAAAAAAGGAAATTCTAGCCCTGCTGCTTGTAAAGAAAAGTAGAAACCAGACAACAACCAAATGTAGCTGACGTAGTGATGATAACAGATTCTGCAAACCAGCTTTAACAGGGAAGGCAGCAGCAGGCACAAGACTCACAGGAGGACTACAATGCCTGATCCCTACCATCCCTGCCATGACAGACTTGGCCATGGCTTTCCTGGTTGGAATAATTGGCTAAGAGCAACACTTGGAAACATTAGGGCTCTCCATTTTGCTTTCTTCACCGTCCAGGCCCACAGATTAGAGCAAGAGGAGAAAAATGTGTTCTTTAAATGTGATTCATTCATACTTTGAAAACAAAGCATCGCTTCCGAGAGACTGCTTAAGTGTTTGATTTGTGCCTCCTTTCATGTATAATTTTTCAGCAAACTGTTCAGTTAGTCTGACATGGTTCAATGTCTGAGTTGCCCATTATTAAGTTTTGAAGAAAAATAGGATGGTTCAGTTCACTGAGCTGTTTTCTCAGATGGCCTGCAAACTCAGGAGGCACCTACTGCGTTAATTTCATGGTCTTTGAAGATCCAGAAATTAGAGGATCATTAAAGACAGAATCTTGGATTTTGTTCCTTTCTGAAATATTCTAGAAGCCACCATCTGCCAGCTTCTTCAGGCTCTTTTCTACACAAAATACAAAGGCAGATAAACGAAATATAGTCAGCAAAACAGGAAGAGGCAGGTCATGTGTGTTAGGTAAGATGGCTATTGATTTGAATACCCATCTTTGTGTCCTATACGTGTGTCGTGCGTAACTCTGTGAGACCTCACAACAGTAGAAACGTCCCCCCTGTGTTTCTTATAACACTTTTGAATCTTTGTAATCTAAGAAACAAGACTTAAATGTTTAAAATGAAATTGTTGCTGCTCCTTCAGTGTGTCAGACTGAGAAATATAATTGGTAACCCTGAAAAAAGGAAGAATTTGTTATCAGAAAATCCACCTCTTTTTCCGCTTTGAAAAGTTCTACGCTGGTTTCTCCCTGACCCACTTCACCACTTACTGGTATTTCCATCCCATCCTTTGTCTCCATTTTTAGGGGGTTTCTTGTGACATTTTTGGAGCTGCAATGCACTTCTTAACTAGAAAAAAACAGACAATGCTTTACAGACTCTAGGACATCATAATTTAGGACTAGATCCTTCAGTTGGGGCCCTTCCAATACAGTGTAGCAATTGTATTGTCACTGGGACACAATTGTGATTGTATTCATTTTCTTTCTACATTTTGGAAAAGGAACACATAAGAACATATTTGCATTTTTAAACTGGGCTTATTATCATAACATTTTATGCATTTTCCAAGAAAATCAGAATAAAGTCTGGATTTTTTTTTTTGTTAATTTGTTTAATTCCCACTCCTCCATACACACACACCCTTCACAAATGCTACTTAAAGTATTACTTCTTTATACTGTTTTTGTTGTTTCATGTAGGGCTCAATTCAACATCTGACAATCAAATCTGACCCAAGGGCTTCTGAAGATCATTGTGAAGATGATGATCCTTATGTGAGTATTCTTATAAGCTCTTCTTTATCTATCCTCAGATTTCAAAGTCATTTGCCATTAGGCACTTTTCGTAAGACTAAATGTACTATTTCTTCTTGGGAACATAGTATCATACTTAAAACTGCCTTCATGTGGGAATCTCTATTTTTGACTACATAGCCCCTAAAACTGTGATTTTCCAAAAAACATAATTTTCTTTTGTCTATAACACCTTTGAGAAAATGAACCGTGACTTTTATTTTTCTGAAGGGTCATTTTCATTAAATGCTGTAAGTACTGAAATAAGTTTACATCATAATGACACTGGGGCTTCACCAACTGAGAAAAAAATACTTTAAAAAAGTATTTTTCTGCATTGAGGTAGCCAGTTCCTTGGAAATCATGGCTTTTTTTCCCCCTGAATTTTATGAACTTGCTGTCATTATTGGGTTTTCCACAGGCTTCAGGGGACATGAGTGGCAATGGCAGCTCTCAAGAACATGAAGGTATTTCTGAGACACAAGAAGTCCTTGCACCTTCTGTTCTTCCCATGAGGGTAAATATATTTGATTTATTTGCTTTACGTTTCAGGTTTAATATCACTTTTTTAGATAGGGAGGTCTGCATTTTGTCACTAGTTTTTTGTATGTGGCAACTTCCAAAGGCACCTGTGAGAACAACATGTGCCCACCCAGAAGAATGACTGCTCTGTGACAGATCAAAAATCTGGTACATTTGGCAACAATCAGCAACCAGTACTTTGGGAAGAGTATAATAACAGATCAGGAACATAAATATGACACTTACCAGGAATACTCTTTCACTCTGCAACAATTTCTGTATGAGGAAATGCTCGAGTCAGGAGTGTATCTCTTTGGGTTTAGTGAATCTCAGCTGAATTTTTCACCCTTTAAATTTTACCATCCTCAACTTCCTGCTACAGAGTCACTTGGCTTATTTAATGGCATGTTTTGTGAAGGACTTTCACCTTTTGCTTGCCCTTACGAACATGCTCTCTGCAGCTCTCATTTGGTGGTTGTTCTACTGGAAGACAGAGTAAACAGTCGTTCCTTACTCACCATAACATTTGTGATTTTAGAGATTCCTATCACAACATGTTCCCCCTCGCTTTTTGTGCCAGGCTGAAATGTTTCAGTCCATTCCCCCCAATGAAGCTTTCCATGCAGCTCATATCAAGCATTCTTCTTTTATCCAAGTACTTGTTGAATCCTTTAGAGGAAACCAGTAGGTTTGTGAGAAATGAATTTGCAGTAACCATGCTCACATTCCCCTGATGTAGCACATACTTGAGATCTTTCATTCTTGGATCCTTCAGAACTCATGGTGAGCACTGTTCTCTTGTGATCATTTGTTGCCATTGACTTAGTGTGTTTCCTACCCTGGACTTACAAAGACTTCACTTTTAGATGTATCCTCTGCTGAGTTTCCCAAGAATATTCTTTCACAGAAATTTTAACTCTTCCATGATCAACATGAATGCAAAACACCTTTTTTTTTTTTTTCTGCCATGGCATAAAATTCTCTGAGAACTCTTTTTACAACTTGTGAATTGATCTGGCTTCGTACTCCTGATGTGTTTGAAAACAGATTTATTAGTAATTTTAATGCCTTTTACATATATTTCATCGAACTCTTTTTGGCCTGCCTTGTTTTTCAGAGTCACAGATTAGCTGAGTTTGAAAGGGACCTCTGAAGATTGTCCTGTCCAACTCCCTGCTCAAAGCAGAGTACAGCAGGTTGCTCAGTGAGCAGGTTGCTTAGTGCCAGTGTGTTTTGGGTTTCTTCAAGGATGGAGACTTCACTGCCTCTCTGTTCCAGTGTAGTTTTTTTCTGATGCAGAACTGGAAATTCTTGTATTTTAATTTGTGTCCATTGTCTCTTTTCTCTTCACTGGCTACTACTGAGAAAGGTCTGGCTCTGTCTTTTTTATCCCCTCTTATCAGGATTTTGTGCACAATGGTAAGATTGCTCTGAGCCTTCTCTTCATGGGGCAGTCCTTGTTCTCTTACCTTCCTCTTGTAGGTCAAAAGCACTAGTTCCTTAATGATCTACATGATCCTTTGATAGACTTGGTCCAATATGTCTGGTGAGCCCAGACCTGGACATGATAATCAAAATGAGGTTCTTGTCTGTATTAATACAGAAAGATCAACTCCCTCAACCTGATGGTGATACTTTTCCTAATGCAGACCAGGATGTTTCTGGCCACCTTTGCCACAAGGGCACATTGCTGGCTCTTCTTCTACCAGCATCCTGTCCTGCAAAGCCCCCAGCCAGCGCTGCTGTGTGGGGTAATTCCTCCCCAAATGCAGGACTTGCATTTTACTTTGCTGAACTTCAGGAGATTCTTGACTGCTTATTTCTGTAGCCAGCTGGGGTTCTTTGAATGGCAGCAAAATTACCTGGTGCCCCAATGACTCCTCTCCATTTTGCGTTCCTGCAAAGCCCCCAGCCAGCGCTGCTGTGTGGGGTAATTCCTCCCCAAATGCAGGACTTGCATTTTACTTTGCTGAACTTCAGGAGATTCTTGACTGCTTATTTCTGTAGCCAGCTGGGGTTCTTTGAATGGCAGCAAAATTACCTGGTGCCCCAATGACTCCTCTCCATTTTGCGTCACACCACGAAATTTAACCCATGAAATCTTACTGTGCTTTCACTTTTCTCATTTGGATACAACTGGAGCTAATTCAGGAAGAATGTTGAATGGCAGCAAAATTACCTGGTGCCCCACTGACTTCTCTCCATTTTATGTCACACCACGAAATTTAACCCATGAAATCTTACTGTGCTTTCACTTTTCTCATTTGGATACAACTGGAGCTAATTCAGGAAGAATGTCTAATTTCTCTAGTCTATCCAGAAGAAAACAAATTCCTTTTTAGATACTGCTTTTTCTGTTTAATAGTCTTTGTAATTAGTACACTGTTCAAAATTGCAGACAACAATATTGGAATTTTTGGCTTTTATTCCTCCTTTTGCAAGATGTCATGGTTTAATGCCAGCTGGGAATTAAGCATCTTGTGGCCGCTTTCCCCCAGTGGGATGGGGGAGAGAAGTGGAAGGGTAAAAGTAAAAAAAAAGTAAAAAAAACCACATGGGTTGAGATAAAAAAAGGTTTTAGGTAAAGCAAAAGCCCTGTGTCTAATTTCTCTAGTCTATCCAGAAGAAAACAAATTCCTTTTTAGATACTGCTTTTTCTGTTTAATTGCCTTTGTAATTAGTACACTGTTCAAAATTGCAGACAACAATATTGGAATTTTTGGCTTTTATTCCTCCTTTTGCAAGATGTCATGGTTTAATGCCAGCTGGGAATTAAGCATCTTGTGGCCGCTTTCCCCCAGTGGGATGGGGGAGAGAAGTGGAAGGGTAAAAGTAAAAAAAAAGTAAAAAAAACCACATGGGTTGAGATAAAAAAAGGTTTTAGGTAAAGCAAAAGCCCTGCATGCAAGTGAAGAAAAATAAGGAATTCATTCACCTCCTTGTGCACCCCCAGCCCGCTCACTGGTGGGGTGGGGTGAGAAGTAGAGAAGGCCTTGACTCTGTCCTAGCACTGTTCAGCAGTAACTAAAACATCCCTCTATTATCAACACTGTTTTTAGTACAAATCCAAAACATGGCCTCATACTAGCTACCATGAGGAAAATTAACTCTATCCCAACCAAAACCAGCACAGAAGAATCTTGTTTCTCTGGATAATCTCAGCAGATTATTCACTGTTGCAGAGTACAAGAGGTAGAAAATTTCTATTTTAATGAGTGAGCGCTATTTGCTAAAAAATCAGTGACACATCTATGATTTACATGAAAAGGAACCTAAAAGTGCAATAGCTATTGTTCATTACTCTATATCACCCCCAGGGAGTAAATACGTGACATTTTCCTTTGATTTCCCAAACATATGAGATCAGTCTTGGGTGCCAAAATGTTATTTCAAGATCTGAGAATGTTAAGGTAATACAGCAGTGTCACACCTTTCTCACAAGACCTAGAAGTTGCCTGGAGTTACCTGGAATTCCATACTGAAGTTAGAATCACTGCCCATAAGGAAAAATGCCACAGAAAAAGTATGACATCATGTAATTTATCATTTGGCAATGATGAATTTGTAGTTGTCATAAATGAAGAGGCAAAGAGTACCTTTCCCTGATGCACCTCTCAAAGACACACTTGCTCATCAATGATTATATCATTGCAAACATTTTTCCATTCAGCTCTTATCCTTTCACTTACTTTATTTTAATTTCCCTAGAAATTATTGTCTGTTTTGATGTTATATTAATTTTCTTGTTAAAACATTTTTAAGGTTGTCTGGGAAACTGAACCAGGCTTTAAGTACAGAAACCATTTTCGTTGAAGTGCCACGCCACAATGTTAATAAGTGTGTATAGATGGCAGATTATCACCTTTAGAAAACAAGAAAGACAGAAGCCTCTTCGTAGCTCTTTTTTGGTCTGCAGGCACTTTTTTGGTGGCAGATTGTTAATTTTTTGGACTGTGTAGAAAGTCTTCATTGTGTCTGTGTGCAGTGCTGGTTCCTACTACAGTAACTCTTCGTAGGAGCCAGTCACAGAACGGATGATGATGCACAGGCTTCTGAGTTGACTGATGATAAGCCTGAAAAGCCAGTAAATTAACTATTTTCTTCAAAACACCAGAACTTCATGTGAAAGTATTTCCTTGGATCACACCCATTTCTTCTAAAATGCCTGGAGACTTCAAAAGGCCATACCAGCATTTCAATAAATATGTAGTCTTTTTTAGCAAGTTGTTTAACGCTGTTGCCAAATTAGAAATGTCTAAATGCAAGTGCCTCATGGGATTTGTGTGCCTTCCAGAGTGACTGCCCATGGGTTTATTTTTTAGAAATATGAAATGAGAGACAGATCAACAAATGACAATTTAACAATCAGTACAGTCATTGAGAGATGTTTCAGAGGAAGCTTTTATTTATCTTCTACTCTGAAACATCACTGAACAAACTCTCAGCTCTTCAGAGTAAATTGCTACGCTGAGCTGGAACGAAACAAGTCATATGTCATACTTGAAAATGCAATCTCTGAGTAAAGACATTTAGCAATGTTGATGGTGCATATCCTAATTTGTATTTTTCTGCTAAGTAGTTCAGTGCTGGGCAGTAGGAATGGGTAACATTCTTGGCACTATTTCAGAGTAATTCCATTTAATGGGCCTGGTGAATCAGCTTTAAATGCCTCGGTGAATCAGCAAAAAAGGCGTGTTTAACATTTGTCGAAGAAGTGTCTCTTCATACAGAATTTTTCTGTGGATTCCCTGCTGATTAATTATTCAACCAAAAACTGTCTGTGGCATGTCTTATCTATAGGATTCTTCAGAAAATAGCCTGAACTATTCTGCGTGTCAGAAAGGCCTTGCCAGAAAGGAAGAGTAGGGAAGAACAATTCTCATTGCTGTTTCATGAGTGTTCAGCTGTTTCATGTGTGTTGCAGTACTGGGTTTCCATGAGTTGTAAGAGAAGGAAGAGCAGAGGAAACATGCATTTGTTCCTTTCTCAAATGGAGGAAATAAAACTGAAATCAACTGAAATTACTTTGGTCATCTATAGTGGGGATCAGATCTGGCCCACTGTGGAAAATTTCCTTTCCTCTCTAAGTGGAGCCTTAAAGCCTAATTTTTAACATATTTCTTAATAACAAGAAGTATTTTGAAGCTTTCCTGAATTATAAGGCTACAAAACCAGTGGGATAAAAATCATTCCAATGATGTTACCTCTCTTCCTTTTGACAACTCAGGTACTATTTCGGCAAGCCCTGTTAAGCCATCTTCACCTGGTTCAAGACCAGGATGCTTGGCCCATTAAAGTCTGCTCCAGGTTACCATCGCAATGTAGTGGCTTTTAAATTTTGTTTAAATTGCAAATGCAGGTTTGCATGAAGTATTATTCTCACTACACAGAGACAGCACTTCTTCAGATCTCTAATTCCAGTAGGGAATAGGCTCTTTACATTCCAGCTGATATTGAAATGGCCACCTTTTGCCCACCCACAGCCAGCATGGAAAAGGATGGGTACCAGCCAGCTCTAGGCTTTTAAACCTGCAGTGGTAACTTTACATTCCTTGCATTTTGATCCCTCTTTATGGGTTTGTCAAGTGTATATCACTTGGTTTAGAGGAATGGGGTTCAAAGGTATTGTGCTAGTTTTTTCTCAAGAGCTAGACTAAATTAGTGTGATGTGCTGGTAAGCAGAAATCAGATGTGTACTGTAAAAAGAAAAATAAAATAGAAGGTGAAATAAATTAAAAGGTTGTAAATGAAAGAGGATTTATATATTGGCCATTAATAAATTTCAGTTTTTATGATAGCAATGACAGTTAATGTTTCTAAGGACAGCATAAGAGTAAGGACAGATGGTGACAAGATATTATGTGGGGAAGATCTGGATTTCTGCTTTGCTTTATAAATGCAGTAGTTCTGATTACTGTGCATTGAGAAAGGTAATCTACTGAGTCATGCTTTGAAATATGTGATAAACCTTTTCTCTAAACAGTTCTTTGGGATTTTATGTTTTTTTTAGCCTGAAGATACGTTGGCTGAGCCAGTGGAAGCCCCCCCAACCATAATATCTTATGTGGAAGAAAATGATTTTTCTGGAAATCACAGATCAGAAGAAACCTCTGAAGCAGCTAAACTTAAAGAACAAGGCACTGCCCCTTTTTTTTTTTTCTTTTTTTTTTTTTTTTGCTGGGAGGGGAGGTCATTTATGTTCTCTAAGTCTCAGTCCATCATTTCCCTGTGCATGAAAAGCCACTGTCATATTTTGGGTGCTGCCAGGAATGGAAAATCCTATGGTTTTGGACATCCTGTGTGTTAGAAAAGAATTGGCACATCAAACATTTGGTCTTTGAAACTGCAGTCTGTTAGACTTGCAATTTGCTAATAGCAACAAAGGTAAGTAGTAGCAACTACAGCCACCGTTCAACACATCTCTCACTTTTCACTCCCTATCGTAGAATCAGGATCATAGAATTGTCTACCTTGGAAGGGATCCTTAAGATCATTGAGTCCAACCGTTAACCTGACACTGCCAAAACCACCACTAAACCATGTCCCTAAGCACCATGGCTATTCATCTTTCAAATCCCTGCAGGGATGGTGATTCCACCACTTCCCTGGGCAGCTTGTTCCAATGTTCGATAACCCTTTCAGTGAAGAAATTTTTCCTAATATCCATCATAAATCTCCCCTGGCGCAACTTGAGGACATTTCCTCTAGTCCTATCACTTGTTACTTGGGAGAAGAGACTGACCCCCACCTCACTACAACCTCCCTTCAGGTAGTTGTAGAGGATGATAAGGTGTCCCCTCAGCCTCCTTTTCTCCAGTGTAAACAACCCAAATTCCCTCAGCCGCTCCTCATAAGACTTGTTCTCTACACCCCTCACCAGCTTCGTTGCCCTTCTCTGGACATACTCCAGAGCCTCAGTGTCACCTCAGTATCAAAAAGGATAAAACATGGAAGCTGACCTGAGGTGTGATGGTCTACAACACTTTACAACAATAGTAAAATGCAATTGTTAGGCACAGGGAATGAAAGAGAAAAATCCTGTGTCAGGACAGTGAGAAGCATGGTGCTTCTTGAGACATACCTCTGCAAATAGTGCTACTGGCTCCTTTAAATGGAATTTAAGATGAGCATTTAATTTGATGACCTTCTGCTATAGTGAAGCACAGCTGTTCATGTAAAACTGAATATCACCACTGAATAAACAACTGTATCCTACTTACGCTCCCTACAAAGGGTGTGAATATGTCTAGTGCATCAAGTGTAGGCACAAAGTAATAAGAGCAGGGCAGAATGCACTGAGGAATCTACTACCCCACTAGTAAGACAATTTCAGTACAGTCCTAGAAAACAAAAAATCTTAAGGTAACTACTCAACAAGGCCAAAGAGAATGTTCCTATTTAAATTTATGCATACTTCAGATAGCAACTGTTGTATGTACCTCGGGCAGAATGCACTGAGGAATCTACTACCCCTCTAGTAAGACAATTTCAGTACAATCCTAGAAAACAAAAAGTCTTAAGATAACTACTCAACAAGGCCAAAGAGAATGTTCCTATTAAATTTATGCATACTTCAGATACCAACTGTTGTACGTACCTTTTATTCTTAAGTTATATAGATGAAAAATAGGCAACCATTAGACTAGAGCTTGAGGCAAAATATGATGCAACACAGTCTTTGTCCTTAAAATAAACATTTGTTTTATAATTTTATTCTCTCTTTTCTCTTTTTTTTCTTTCCTTTTAAAATTTTCAGAGTTATGAAATGAAATATTAATCTTTGGAATGTATTTTGGTCATAATGTAAATAATTTCTTTTTTCATACACCTCACAGCATCTGAGCTCTGATAAATACCTCTGGGTGGCTTTTATTTTGCTCTGTCTCTCATTAACAAGTGATTATTTTGTTTAGATTCAGCTGTCACAGAAACTGGACAAGGCAACAGTGAGTCCACCACTATCACACAGAAAATCTTAAGAGAAGAAGATGGCTCTGGTGCTACTGTTTTGCCAGGACTAAGCACAGAGGAGGTGTGTGCAATGGGTTTATTGTATGCCTTATTGTTTTCTCCCAAGAGCAGGAAAATATATGAATTTTAGGTGCTTTTCTGAATCGGTGCCTTTATCTACTGCATCTTAGCAGCACGCCAAAACAGAAGTTACTTTTTAAGTTCTTAAATGCTCTCTCATGACACGAGACTGAAAAGCACTGCACTGACACTATGCAGAAGTTTGGATCTATAACCATTGAGATGGGCTTGAGACTTTTGACTAACAAAATGAATTTATTCTTTCAGTTTTTGCATTTTTTCGTTTTGCGTTTAAGAAAGTGAGAAACAAAGACAATAACCAACCCAAACCCTCACCATGAAAGGCACAATTGTTATTCCCTAAAAGTGGGCACCTTGGTCTTACTTACTCACAGCCACTGCCTTGCAGGTGAAAGTCGTGCTTACTTCTCAGAAGTGTGGTATATAAACAGATTTAAAATTAAGCCCTTTGAGTGCTCACCAAGTGGTTCTGTTTGAAGTATCAAAGAAGCACTGCGTTATCACAGTGATTCATTATTAGCTGATCCAAACAGAAGACTAACACTAAAACACACTGAAGTCTGGAGGAATCCATGCCTAAAATGTATATTGCTGGCTCTCCTTGGTTGCCCACAGAATAATCTGAAAATTTACAATTTATACAAATTATTCCTTTATAAACCGAATCTTGAATTACCATCCAAGAGGTTGATCCAATATTCCATGTCTTGGCAAGGGAATGACTGCATGGATTGCACTGGAAAAGTGTCTGCAACTCCTAGTTCTTTCATTAAGTAAGCAGTGTGTGCTGCCTCCTGACAGCTGCCTAAGTTGACACCCAGAGATGAAAAATCTATTTAAAAAGTAGCCAGCAGCTTTCCTGGCACTCACAATAAAAAGATGCTTTGACTAATGAAATATTAAGACTGAGCAACCTTTCCACCCCTAGATGGCCTTAAAAAGAATGAAAGTTGAGGCAAGTTGTTTGGGGTCCGTGCATTACTCATGTCTGTGTCAGAGCAGTTACATGAAGTTATATGGCTGTTTACAGCCATGCCTAGCTTTTCTCTAGGCTGCCAGCACATTTTTTAGAAGTATTCTAGAAGAGGCAATATCTGGACATCTTTCACCTGTCAGAGATGCCTTCCAAAAGTCCTGGTCAGGCTGTCTTCTTGTAAACGTCCAAGCAGTAATTCCTTTCAGGATCCCTCCTGATGGAAAAAGAGATACTAGAAATTGTGCATGCCACCATCAAGTGGGTTGTACTCTACTGAACAGAGGAAAATCTGACAAAGAAGGGGCTATAATTTAATTGGCAATTCAATTCTGCCAGGACCAGGAATAACTGTAAATTATATGCATAGCATTCAGACTAGTCACATTTTCAGTATCACTTTTTGTCAATTCCCTTGTAAAATTAGATATCCCCTTTCGGATAGACTCTGGTTGGCGTAGCTCCTAGGCAAGGAAATTAAGAGAAAACCCAGGGTAGCCTGTCTCTACTTTGAGGTTCACACACTGCTAAGAAAAATGGTGGCCCTTTTAACTTCTAAATAGAGAGTACTCCAGCCTACATGACTGCAGGCACTAGAAACCCCAAGGGGAGTGACTATGCCATGTGTAGCAAAGTCACCTTCTCTGGTGAGGTACTGGGCTTTGAAAGATACTGTGCCTATTGAATGTGTAAGGTAATGTGTAACCAGAATTTTGTGTGATTCTGCAAATTAAAGTTATGTGTGCCCCTCATTGGGAATCCTGTGAGTTGGAGGGCTCCAGCTACTTAAGTACTTACCCTCCTTGTTGACATATTTCAAAATAATCAGCTAGCACTACATTTTTAGTTAATTAACATTCCTGATCCAGCAGCCACCGTGGATTTTTGTAACCAGAAATTAAATAATGACCTTTTCTTCCTCTTGTCTTTGCGGCTCTTATGCCAAAAGTCCATTCTCTGTATTGCTTGAAACTGCAGTCGCTTACAACTGCTTCTGCTTGACAGAAAACATACAGCACCAAGAAACGCAGAGTTTTTATTCTAAAGTTCTACACTGTGTGTTTTGTTCAAGTGTTAAAGGTTGTTCCTTACAAGGTCTTCTAGTGTTTTTGTGTTTATTGTGGTAAATTACAAAAAATGGTGAAAAATTAGGTTAAGAATCATCCATTGGAGCTGACATACAAGAGGCTTTAATATTTGTTGGAGCACTTCCAAATATGATTCATCTAACATTTTCATGCTTGCATTCACATTTTTTAAAAGCAGCAATTTTAGTGTCAGGATGAACTATTGTTCTCACAATCTCTTCTTTTTTTCAGTTTTGAGCTATTTTTCTTAAATAAAAACCCAGCCTTGATTTAAGTAGTGTGACACAAAAAGCTTAAATCAATTGTGACAAGTAGTTTTGCTACTTACTCATCTTTATGAGTTTTTTCTTGAATTTATTCATACTTCCACATCATTTTCACTACATAGATACCCAAGATGGCTATACAATATGCTAATCAACAATCTTTTAGAAAATAATAATAAAAAAATTACATTGAAAACTGGTCTTTGTGACCAGACTACACTCCACTACGTGGCAGAATTGGCCCTGTCTCCTGTAGGTTTATCATTGTACAAGTTATGCAATTTGTAAGCCAGTTGGTATGTGTAACACTGACTAGGCACAGTGTTCTTCTTGAAGTGTTGTATGGAACCAAGACAAATGCCTCTCAGGAAAATTTGCTAAAGTTGGATAAACAGTGTTACTGTCATCAAGCACGTATAACGAAGAAAATTATGACCTGGTTGTCAGACATCCACGCTGATTTAGCATTCATTATGTTCACACTTTGATTTTAGAATAGAATAGAATAGAATAGAATAGAGCAGAACTATTTCAGTTGGAAAGGACCCATAACAATCATCTAGTCCCACTGCTTGACCAATTCAGGGCTGACCAAGTTAAAGCATGTTGTTAAGGGCATTGTCCAAATGCATCTCAAACACTGACAGGCTTGGGGCATCGACCAACCCCTCTAGGAAACCCGTTCCAGGGTTTGATCACCCTCTTGGTAAAGAAATGCATCCTCAAGTCCAGCCTAAACCTATCCTGATGACCTTTGAGCCATCACCACACATCCTATCACTGGATGCCAGGGAGAAGAGATCAGCACCTCACTCTCTACTTCCCCTCCTCAGCAAGCTGATGAGAGCAATGAGGTCACCCCTCAGTCTCCTTTTCTCCAAACTAGACAAACCCAAAGTCTTCAGTTGCTCCTTGCAGGACATTCCTTCCATCCCTTTCACCAGCTTTGTTGCCTTCTTCTGGACTCATTCAAGGACCACCACACCCTTCTTAAATTGTGGGGCCCAGAACAGCACTCAGTGTTCAAGGTGAGGCTGCACCAATGCCGAATACAATGGGATAATCACCTCTGTTGAGCAGTTGGTTATACTATCTTCAACGCACTGGGGGAATGAGGAACTGTCCACCATAGGAGCAGACCAGATTTGAGATCATCTAGGGAACCTGAAGGTGCACAAGCCCATGGGACCTGGTGAAAGGCATCCACAAATCCTGAGGGAACTGGCAGATGAAGTTGCTAAGCCACTGTCCATCATATATGAGAAGCTGTGGCAGTCTGGTGAAGTTCCTGCTGACTGGAAAAGGGGAAACATAACCCCCATTTTTAAAAAGGGAAAAAAGGAAGACCCGGGGAACTGCAGGCCAGTCAATCTCAGCTCTGTACCCAGCAAGGTGATGGTTTCCTCCTGGAAACCATGCTAAGGCACATGGAAAATAAGGACGGGATTGGTGACAACCAACATAGCTTCAGTAAAGGCAAGTCGTGCCTGACAAATTTGGTGGCGTTACAGTATTGGTGGATAAGGGAAGAGCAGCTGACATCATCTACCTGGGCTTGCACAAAGCATTTGACACTGTCCTGCATGACATCCTTGTCTCTAAGTTGGAGAGACGTGGATTTGACAGACTGAGCTCTCAGTGGATAAGGAATTGCCTGGATGAATGCAACTCAGAGAGTTGCAGTCAATGGCTCCATGTCCAAGTAGAAAGCAGTGACAAGGGGCATCCCTCAGGGATTGGTACTGGGACCAGTACTGCTTAACATCTTTGTCAGTGACATGGACAGTGCTATTGACCACATCCTCAGCAAGTTTGCCGACAACACAAAGGTGTGTGATGTGATTCACACTCTGGAGAAAAGGAATGCCATCTGGAGGAACCTGGGCAGGCTTGAGAGGTGGGCCCATGGAAACTTCATAAGTTCAACAAGGCCAAGTGCAAGGTCCTGCGTGTGGGTCAGGGCAATCCCAAGCACAAATACAGGCTGGGCAGAGAATGGATCGAGAGCAGCCCTGAGGAGAAGGACTTGAGGGTGTTGGTGGATGAGAAGCTCAACATGAACCAGCAATGTGCACTGGAAGCCCAGGAAGCCAACCACTTCCTGGGCTGCATCAAAAGAAGCGTGGCCAGCAAGTCGTGGAAGGTGATTCTGTTCCTCTACCGCGCTTTGGTGAGACTCCACGTGGAGTACTACATCCAGCTCTGAAGATTCTCACATAGGAAGGACATGGACCTGTTGGAATGAGTCCAAGGGAGGACCACAAAAATTATGAGAAGCCTGAAGACAGGCTGAGAGAGCAGGGGCTGTTCAGCTTGGAGAAAAGGCTCCTGGGAGACCTCACTGTAGTTGTGATCTTACCTGCAGCTTAGTTAACTAGGTTCCCTTCTAGCACTTTTCCAGATGGGAAAAAAAGTTTCTACTGAGACCAGATGAAAAAAATCTCTGGTCTTTGGGAACTTTTGTAGTGATAAAACCCAGAAAGATCTTCAAAAAATCAGCTAGCGGCTCCTTTGCTGATAGTTACTGTATTACATCCCTCCTAGTTTCATTAGCTACTAATGGAACACAAAATATTTCATTACTGCTATAAAATGTGAACAAATCCTAGTGCACATTTCAAAATATGATGCAAAAATGACTTAAATGTCCTGTCT